CACTGGCCACAAGATCCTCAACGGTCTTGGCAATGGCTGCATTGCTGGCATCAGCCCCAATGGAGCAGTCGGATGGCGTGTGCACGTCCTGGCGTTAGGAAAACCCAAGGGATTACTATCACCTTGCCCATTCAATGGCTATTTGGTATACCGAATTCTCAGACACGGCCACTTCACAGGGAGATCCCACTGGAAGGTCCTTCTCAACAATCTTGCTGAGCAAGAGAGCCGTGTTGCCGTCAAAGGTGATTTTGCCTCCCTGAAAGCGTGACTCTGCTCATCTAAGAGGGCAAAATGCCGCAGCTTCTACCACGGATCTGCACGGTTGAAACCACTACGGCGCTGCGCCTTTTTGAAGCTCGCAAATTCCGCCTTGCTGATCACACCATCCTGCTTCCGAAGCCCTTCCCCGATGGAACAACTGGAACATTCCCTGACTTTGTCATACTTTGGGCATCTTTCAGCTGTGGTCAAGTCCTTGTTTGCATCCATGGCCGCAAAGCCGCCCTGGCAGCTGCTTGAATTTGTTCTTAGCGCTACATGTGGCCAAATCATAGATTCTTGTTGGCAAGTCCACACTATTCATACATTCTCTGTCTAATCTGTCTATTATGTCTATTGGCCTATGCTTCAAGCGACTGATGGAAACGATGATACTTCACTGACATGGTCAAAGACTTCAGGAAGTGATGCCTACCTCGGTCTCTTGCTCCTGAACCGATCAATAAAGTACTGTAAGCTGGACATCTGTCATTAACAGCTCTCACGCAAATTTACATCTGATCTTCAACATGTTCTCCCGGCGTTGGATACTGTATCTTTCTCTCCTCACCCGGAAGCTGGAAGGCTTTCTTCAGTGCCTCTATTGCCACCTCAATACATCAAACATCAAACATCATCAAACATCATCAAACGACTGTCCACGGCTATTGGAGGCTGCAAGGTTCATGAAGTTCAAGATGTGCTCCAGAATCCCATCAGAATCTCATGCCACATCGTACGGTTGTCATCAAATTTCGAAGTCGCCTCCTCTCTGACTTTGGCGCTTGTAGGGCGAGCACCTCGCAGCATCGCAGGCTTACAGCAACTTGGCTATCTAAATACAAACTATCACCAGCTACCGCAAGCTATCACAAGAACTGATCATCTGAATCTTGCCTGCAGAGGTTGCCTGCCACAAGGACGCAGTCATTGAGTTTGGAGTGTCGCCAATGGCCACAGTGGTTTGGAAGCCGAATTACAATTATTGGAATTAGCAAGACAATTTCCGACAGCAAGACTTCATCACAGTCTCATGCCTTGACACGGATATTGCCAATGACCAAATCGCCACCGGATTTTTGCGCTTGTCTGGCTCCTGGGACCTCACAAGTGCACTCAAGCCATGCTGCATAAACTGCTTTAGAATTCCTCAAATCATGGCATCCCAGAAATCCCCCAGAAATCCCCAGAAATCCTCAGAGATGTCAGGAATCCCAGGAGTCCCAGAAATCAAGGAATCATATGAATCAATATGAATCATATGTAATAGATCTGGATGTAATGAGCAAATGGAATCAATCCATTCTCCCAAAACAGTGACCTTGGCCACGTGCTGACCAATGCGACTGATCCTCGTCGTGCACTTCTGCGAACAAGACTTGTTGACAAAGCATGGAACACAACATAAGACAACCTATGGCAAGTGGGAATCTCATGGATGACTGTAGGACTCTATGATATAAATCCATTCTGACTCCTTATTTGTATGACTATTTATTATCATACTATATATATATGTGAGTATATATCACAATATATAAGATAAATATATATATATAGTTACATAATATTACATACATCTCCTAAGCCAACCTTGTTACTGCTGTGTTATGTCAGTGGGTCCAAAATCCTGAGACCTTGGCAGTGGATCTCCATCGCCTTGAGTGGCCCGTTGCAACACCACTGTCGCAGACCCCACGTCGCCGCATGCAATCCTCAGTGCCAAGCGGCGATGTCAAGTGCCACAAGTGCCCTTTAAGGTAAACATATGGTAAACATATGGCTATAGAAAATGGATGAACATATCCATTTAATATCATTTAATCATAATTCCATTTATAGATGATTTATATATAGCTATATAGTAAACATGGTGAAATTCCGTAGCTATGATGAATTTGAAGTGGGGAATGGTTCTTGCTTTCATTTCCAGTAGAGGTAGCGCAACGCGTGAGCCGCGCACGATATCTTCACTTTCACACTCCCAGGTGCCAATGTCACCTGTTGCGCGTGCCATGGGTCATCATGCAACTCTTTCCGGAAAAAGCCAGTACGAGTACAATCCGTATGATCTGCAAGCGGTCAAAGGAGTCTTTGAGAGACGGACCCGGATCTGATCTGGCTGAATGCCTGCCTGACAAGTCCAAACAACAATTCTGGGCCTCAAAGCCATGCAATTGTGTGCTACAGGTTGAAAAATGTGAAAAGGTTGAAAACCTCCTGCCTGTTCTGCCAGGCTTCTTCGGATTGCTTCCACCATACCAATGGTGGTTTCTGCTGATGAGATCACGGTGTCGTAGTCCATGTCCTCGAACCTTGGTCTGAGAACTTCCAATAACAGATGTTCACAGGCTGCTGAGTCACATTGAAACGTCAACATGGAGGTTTAGAGGTTTTATGAAGTTGATATGAAGTTGTAAGACTGGCAAATCTGCAGATTAAAAGGTGCTCTGAATTGTTTTGACATTCTCTGAGCCATCTGCGCAAAATCCAGCTCTGCGATGGCAGGCCCCTAGCACGTGCCCAGTAGCTGAATCCGGGGAAGTCAACGAGCCAACTGTGCTAAATCAGGGGGTCAACAATTTGTTTCGCAACTCAGGGCCTCCACAACTGGACCTGCGGAGCCTGACCACAGAATTCAGTCACACTATTGGATGGTTTCAATGGGTCACACACACAGCCTGCTGGCTCCTTCTTGCGGAAGTCAACATAAGGCAGTTGCACCTATTGTCGTCTGCAACTGAAAGAAGTGCTCCAGACACAAAGGTTCTCTTCTATAGTCACATTGTTAATCTTAGGTGCTGACCAGTGGTACTGCAGCTACACTTTCCACGTCCAATGTGGCAACACTACCTTCTCTCACAGCCTCAGCCGGGACAACCTCAACCACTAGTCACTAGTTAATTCATTATGTTTTATATTGTTTTATAATGGTTTTAGGAAATGCACATAGAATGTCTGTTCAGCAAACATGAAAGATTTTGAAAGTCGGTGTTTCCAGTTATTCCGAACAATCTGTGACCCCTTAGTCGTCCCTGCTTCAAGAGACAATGCAATTTATCTTTGCAGGACACTGTCGAACACTGTCTGGCCAAAGACCCGAGATGTGCCCACCATCCGCACCAGCCCAAATATCTTTCGGGACCAAGCAGATTCGAGGTTTGTCTCAAGCTGACTCTTCAGCCAGCTGTCGATCTTGACCTTGCATGAATCAACAAATATCAACTCATAACTTGATTTCTTTCCCTTGCTCTGCAGCATAGAAAGCCTCAGGTCTTTTATACTGTTCTTGGAAACGACGCAAGTCCTACGTATTCCAAGGTTAGGACATCCGGGGTGTCAGTCCTGGATCCAGCGCTGCACAGAGTGGCCACACTTTCTTCCTTGGCAGCCTGGCCGCTTCGCTGACGATGGCCAAGCGGAGCATGTATTGAATCATTAAATTGTCATGAATTGTCATTAATGTCATTCATATGATTCATATGTCATTGATTCCAGACAGATTGTCATTGTGTAGCAATATATGCAATATGTCCAGCAAATGGCCTGGTCCAAACTGCTTTCGAGCATGTCCAGCTGCTCCTTGAGCCAAGCATCAACTTTGGCCTCGCCAGGTCCACCAGGTGCCAGGTGATGCCAGGTGATGCCAGGTGATGCCAGGTGCCAAAGCTTTTGAAAGGTCAACTGGCACCTGGGTAACCGGGTAACTCGAGTCTGAGTTTGAGGTCAGAACAGGCGGAGTCCCAGATCTCGAGTCAGTGTTGCTGACCACTGCTACGCTGCCTTCTCTCACGGCCTGGAGGTCGAGACATGCTACAAATATCGAATCTAGATGAATCTAAGATACAAAAGAATCTGCAATACCTACAATGTGTACATATAATATTTGTACGTATTTATAATATTTTACAATCATATTTTTTTCAAATTAAAGATGTTGTAGAGAAATGCCATCGCTAATATCCGATTGCCATCGTTGACACCGCCACCATTGCGGTCATTGTCAGGCCATCCACCAAGCCTCGTAATTGCTTTGCAGCTGCTTTTGGATCCAAAGACGCATTTCGGCCTTGGTCACGGACAGAAATTGTCACTAAGATTCACATTGGAAATACGACATGATAGATGTGATATGATGTGATATGATGTGATATGATGTGATATATAGCTTGCAGCAAAGATTGGACTTGAACAATATTCCACTTCTCACGAGATCCAACAACATCACCATCACAGTAACGAGAAAAGCAAGAAAGGCAATTAGTTTGGGCTGGGGTATCACCACGTCGTTCCGAATTTTGCCCAGACAAATCGTAGTCTTTTGGAGGGAGCTAAGCAGCTATGCTAAGGTTCATGCAGCCTTTGGAGTCTCACTGCGGGAACTTCCACGGCTTTCACAGAGCGTAGCGACACTCTCCTCTTTCACCGCCTTGACAGGGAATCAAATAAAAAAAAAGCTATGTGCAATCACCACGAAATACCACGAAAGACTGCCTTTACTCCGAAAGGAGTCCTCCAATTGCCCGCCTCTTGAAGGCTTGGGATGAGCCGAGTGTCAATCCAGTTCTTCAATCGGACCTGCCCATGTAGCCGATATAGCCCGCGCAAACCTCCCCTTTCAATTGCGTCCCCTCAAAGGGTGTTTGAAGATGTTTGAAGATGTTTGAATGTTGTTAAGCATTCGAAGATGTGCTCATCTCATCTGCAATCTGTGAGGAGGTTGTTGCTTAATGTGGCTGCTGGACCTGCTCCATCTTCTCTTCCCATTCAACCCTTCTCTTGTACCTTGAAAAATCTTGAAAATCTACAAGCGATTGAACCGACCACTAAACATCGGTGGCCAGCACAGCAGATCTGCGCACATGGTTCGTGGGCTGATCTGCTTGACGCCAACCTAATCCAGAAAGCTGCTACAGAACTGCAAGAAACACCTCACTGTCGTCAAATCTGGCCTCTGTACCAGGTGAGCTAGCCATCGGAGAGGTTCCTGCAACTGTAGCAAGCTCACAGCAAAACTCAACAGCAGGTACTCAGACTGGCGCAGGCTGGGCCATTGGCCAGTCTCATTTCTCTCATTTCAGTCATTTCTCAACATGGATTTGGATGATTTGGATTCCTCCTGATAGTGTGCCCCTTGGCATGTTGGCCTTGGACAGACGTGTGACATACCGAGGAGCCTGGCCATGGCTCCCATGGGTCAACTCCGTCAACTCAGTGAACTCAGGTCGTGGCAGCCACGAAGTGATCGACCAATCGTCCAACAATGACCTGCTCATGCTGCACCTGGACAGGACAGGCCGCCCAACTTGATCTTGGCCACTGGCCACAACGACCACAACAAGGTATGCAGGAAATGCATGTTTATGATGTTTTATGCACGTTCTCATCATGTTCTCTCATTCTGAACTTTCAATATCTTTCAATCGCTTCAATGTCAGGCCTGCTCCCGTGGAGTGATAGTGTCCTACCGTATTCCCAGGCAGAGTCTGCCTCTCTGTCTGTGCATCTGTGCATCTGTGTCTGATGACTCGGCCTTTCTTGATGAATAAAAATGAATAAGACTCTTGCTGGTATCACTTTTCGTCAGTCTTTCATGAAACCTTCATGAAACCTTAGTGCCTTAGTGCTTGTACTCAAAGGAAAAATAGGCGCTACATCACATGGTAATGGACGACATGTGTCCTCCACTGCAGATGCTGTGGCCTGCACTCAAATGCCAAGACACTTGACACTGGCAATGGGACAGAATTGGAGTGAGTTCAAGGAAAAGACAGGACGCCTTCTGAACAAAGTCATGGAACTCCTGGAGCCCATCAGGTGATGCGTGAGACAAGATGACTAGATATGTCAACAAAAATGACGGATGACAATTGATGACGTGATTTCAAAATATGTCAAACATTCCAAAGCGAGACTTGAGCAGCTCACAATGGCTACCCACCTCGCGAGTGATCACACCATCTTTGTTGGTGTCCAGGTCTTCGAAGGAAGCCGCAGCAATTGCTGCATGTACCTTTCGCAGCAAAGTGAAAAAATAAAAGCGTGGGGACCCAACAGTTCAACATACCATAACATACCTCATTCCTATCCTCCACTGAAGTGAAAGTCTGGTTGAGTCCAACGTCCCTTACTCTCAAGGCTGGCCTGCTTTTCAACTGTGCCCTGCAAGTGGGTTGGCATTGCTGCAAGGGAAATCCGATGAAATCCCCATTGACCACAGGGGCCCATCTGCATCAATTAGTGATCACTTGATAACAACTGCTCTGCCAAGGGCCAAAAATATTTTTACCATCCCTTCAAGCAGGAACTCATATCACTCGCCTCTTTGTGCTTTGACTCATCTGCCTCGCGCGTCGGTGTGATGCTGTCTTCGGAAGCAACAGGACATGTCCAGCCCGCCTCTGCGTCCAAATTTGTGGCCAGCCAGGTTCCCACCGATGGAAGCAGCTGCCACTTAGACTTTGGTGCCTTACGTTCCGCTATGGCAGCTAGTGTACAGACAACAGTTGACAACTGCACCACTGAACCATCCAATTGGTGCCTCTGCAGGCTGAAGCGCAGTGGCCTTCTCCACAAAATCCTTGAACTCCTGCAGGGGGTTGTATTGCATACTGCATGTGCAATGCCGCAATGCCTCAAGAGAGTCACAGCTCACATGACCTCCTTTGAGATGACGCCATCTTTGTTGGCATCGGCATCTGCAAAGGTTGAAGCAATGGCCGCTTGAACCTGGCGTCATGTGTCCCCGAAACCTGGGGGTCAAGTGGTCAGCGGTCAACTGATTCAGTCGCACATTCGCACTGCGCTGCAAAGCAAGGCCTCCGGTCGCAATGGCTTTGCCATGTACCTCAACACATGTCAACACATGTCAACACGGTAAAATTCTGCTTACGAGAACAAAACCTTCTCGTTGTCGTGCCAGGTTCCAATGCAATGATCAGAATCCACCAAGGCAACTCTCTCGAGACTGAGGAAGGCTTAGACAAATTGCAGACGTTTGGGTTTCATTTCTGGAACCATCCGTAAGTCCTTAATTGTCATTGTGGTTGTCCCAGTTGTGCTCATCACGTTTCCCATTTGGTTTTTGCATGTTTTTGCCCCTCACTACCCTCAAGAAACAGTACATGGAATCCTCTGGTGGTCACTTTGCTAGGGCCAACAATGTTCCAGTCAAACTTCAACAAATGTTCCGAACCCGAGTTGAATCAAGATTCATGCGCTAGACTCTAGACCATGAAATCGATGCATGACGTGCCCTTCGAATGACATTTCTCAAAGGCACCATGTTCCCACGGAAGGAAGCAAAGGAAACTCCGCAGGAGGAGCAGGTGGCGCTGGCGGAGAGGATTCCTGCTGACATCAAGCTTTTGAAAAAAGCGGAACTCCTGCTTGAACAACAAGGGAAACTGCCGCTACCACTTTCAGAAGGAAAAACCGGCAAAGGTTCGCATTCGTCACATTCACAGCTTGACTCAGCTTTTCAGTTTTTCCCGACCTGGGGAGGTGCTTCAACCTTGCAAGATACATCACAGCTGACATAGAAGCTTCTTGTAGAGGCACCGTGTTGAAGGTGTGCAAATGTTAAGCAGTCAATTCAAGGGTTCAAGAGAAATGGTTCAATTTTTTCATATAAGGCTTCAAGATTCCTTCAGTCCGTGGTCTTTGACCACCCGACCACCCACCGGAGCTGTGCTCAAGGTTTGGCCCCTTTGCCGAGACGAGTCACACCAAGACTTGCTCGAACTTTCGCAACAAATGCGGCAAACTCCTGGAGCAGAGTCTTAAAGAAGAAAATAAATGCAACACATAATGCAACGCTATGTACATCTATTTACACCATGTCACAGGATTTGTTTCTAAACTCGGAAGATTCATCACCAAAAATGTCATGTGAGATGGAACAACTCATGCGCTTACTAAAGAGAGCCTGATCTGACACCGCTACAAGTTGAACCTTCGGCCCCTTGATTCAATTTGTAGACCCTGGTCCCAATGATCCCAAGTGATATGTCAATTTGATTCAATTTGCCCAATCAATCCCGATAAACTATGATAAACTGATACTTTCGGGGTGTAAATTCTCGGTCTTCTCGTCTTCTCGGTCCCCTTGTTGTGGAAAACCCCTTAAACCATTCCTCCGGCGTGATAACACCATCTTTGTTCAGGTCGATGTCGTCGAAGGATACTTCTGCAATCGCAGCAAGCACCTGACTTTCATGGCGCCAAGTGCTACGTCTACGACATTCTACGAGTTCCTAAACCTGTGACCTACCAGTGCCACAAAAGAGAGCATGACCTGCTGGTTGGAAAAGGACGGGGACATCGCCTGCAGCAGACAATTCATCGCAGAACTAAACAAATGTTTCACATTTGACCCAAAAACTCCGGTTGTTGGGGTAGATCTAGGAAAAATCTGGACAAATTGTTTGCTGCAGGCGAATGTCATGGCTAGCCAACCAAATCGTTGTTGTTTTTATTCTGGCCTGCTGCATTCGCTCATCTTCAGCTGATTCCTGCGGTCTCATGGTTGAAAAAACAAGGACTACAAGCAGGGGGGTCTTATTATGACAAACACTTCAGAGCCCTCTCCATAGCACAATGATGAAGAGCCAGAATGGATGTGTTCTTGCACTTTTGCACTTTGCAGTCTAACAAAACCTTGGAATCTATTCTGCTAATTGCAGCAGCTGTAACATAATTTTTCAAGTATCCAGGTCTCAGACCCAGACTGGATCAGTTTAGATCAAGTAGGTGTTCTTGTTAAACAGCCTATTGTGTGTCCTTCCACTATACAATAATCGGTCATTGTCACTATGAGATTTCAGATTGCTCAACCCCTTGGTTAACCCACCAACAGCCCAGCTCCTTGGCCTTGACCTCCTCTCGGCCCTGGGTGAGGAACAAAGGTGATGGGACAGGGAAACAAAAAAAAACGAACATCACAGAAGATCACAGATGTTTCCATGGAACGTCATGTGACACTTCAATCAACTTCAATCTGTCAGATCTGTCAGATCTGTCAGATCTTTCAATGCAAGTACTTCAGCATGGCGTGACCGGTTTCATTATCCCATGTAGGCTAGAAGTTGCGCTTTTAGATGGCAAACAAATGCATCACGCTTGGCATGACGAGCAACGGGTGAGTGAGTTGACATAGGCGATGTTCCTGGCCAGTTCAACACTCTAGGTAGCGATCCACGAACACAAAAAAGGGGTGAAGTACTGCATCCAGCAGGTCCAAATCTTTGCCCAGAGGACCCAACAGAGATTTCACAAGATGTCTGAAACTGTTCAGAGAGGGGAAACAACGGGTGTGGCATCCCAAGACACGAACTGCCTCCAGATTGAGTCGCTCGCGGCATCATGCCAGCCTCAAAGGGTGAAATCCAATTGTCATTGTGGTTTGCCTCCACTGGCCATTGAGCTGCAACCAAACATGTGACTTTGTGTCACCAACATGGCTTCACTGCGGACTACTTCTCAAGGTTCGAAGATGGGCTGTGACTGCTACATTTGCAAGACAGAATCTTCCACTTCAAAAGTTTGCACGAACTAATATCTTATCAGGGGGCCTGTACCTTGGGCTGTAATCCAATGATGGACAAAGCGGCATTCTCTGGGATAATTACTGAGCCAAGTGCCGTAACCAGGCCGCTCACAATGTGATCTGCCACGGATTTCTCTAGTTCTGCCTCTCAGGGATGGATAGGAATGGGTTATTCCCAAAAAACTTACCTCTCCAAGACTCTACTCTTCATAAATTCGTACCATTCGGAACACTCAGAAGTCAATCGCTGCCCTTGGTGCGTTCTGATTTTTTGACAAAATGCACGCACGTTTTTTATCTTTTTTTCAGACGTATTTTTGTCTGGTCCTTCAAGTGTCAGCTGCTGTGTCCAATGCTCCCATCGAGGCCTGCTTGGCCTTTTTCGCCAGCTCAGCCTGCTTCGCCACTTCGGCCTCCTTAGCCAACTCAGCCTCCCTGGCCAGCTCAGCCTGCACCAAAAACTCTGTGGTGAGTTTCCGTGAAAGAATGGTCCCAATGTCCCAATCCAACTGCAGAAATGCTGCAGCGCCTCTGTTGGAGGAGCCTGCGACGAAAAGATTCTGAGGGGAACCAACACAATGTGTAAAGTTGTGCAACTGCAACTGCAAATTCTTGCTGCAAACCTCCAATTGAAACAGGACTCGTTCTGTTAGCTTGGTTCTTGTTTATATAATAGGTGTTCTACCTCCATAATCTCCATAGAAATGAAAGGCATGGCAAGGGCCTTCGGCGGTAGCACGAGAGGTTTTGGAATCATATACCTGGCAGGAAGGCAGATCTGATTGCTTCAGGCATAGATCGGACCTTGAGGAAGCAAGAAACATCACTCACCAGACTGCTCAAAAAATACCTTGAATCCTTCCATAGCCTTCCCTTCTGCAAAGCCAAGGGCACCATGTTCCCACCGATGGCATCATGTTCCAGTCTCTCTCTGGGACTTCGGGTTGTTCCTCCAAGGTGGAGTGCAATGCCAGTGCTGTGGGAACAAAACTTCACTGAGTTTGGCAGTTTCATGGCCAAAAGCCCCAAACGGCACTGCTCACTTTAGCTCATTTGGATGAAGGGAGGAAGGATGACATCAATTCATCATCAATTCATGAACGAGAATTCTGGATGCAAACTACATATCTCAAACTGACTGTCATGAGAAACACAGTGCAAGGGTTCGAATCGAAGGCTTTTGCAGATGGACGGGTCCTCGTCGACCTTATCCAGGGGACCACCTACAATGCAAAGAAGAAGTAAGTCGCAATGTCCACGAGAGGCGTCGTTCAAATTGGAAGAGAGCAAGGCGGTCCCAGAATTCTTGGATCTGATTGCACACCTACACACTCTCAACTCTTCGCACTCTTGACTCTTGACCGGGCCTTTTTTCAAAGTATCAAAGCTTGCTGCCTGTCAAAACTCTTCAATTTCTGATGAAGCTCGGCCAAACACAACAACATAAAGCTGCATGTGTTCGTGCCATGCGCACTGATCTTCATCCCTCGCCTCAGGCAGAAGAGCTGCAATGGCACCTGCAACTCATGTTCAGGTCATCGAGTTATCATCTGTGACGAGTTGATACGAGTTGTTTGTTCCTTATTCAACTATGGCAGTGTGCCAAAACCTTGTACCCCTGGTGAACATCAAAATAGCTGGTAAATGGATGTTCATTCCCCTAAAAATGGTATTAATAGGTATTGATCCATACCCCTATAGATATTGAATCTACCCAACTATCACAGTGATATCACGCGTCAATCATTCTGCTGGCTGCTGATCCAATTTTCTGGGACAAGCATTTCTTCAGGCCCGGCCCAGCCAACTGAGTCTCCCTGCCCCATGGATCTGCTGGCCGCTCCTATGCGAAATCCAACAAATTTTGAATCACAAAAACGTACAGATTCAAACTCCACACCAAAATGGACCAACTCAGCTCTCCTGCACCAATGTCTTGAGAAGTTTCTCCACAAAAGGCAGGATGTTGTGTTCCTCTAGGTAGGATCGCGCCTGCCAGATTCCGTGCAATTGATGCAAAAGTCGGGGTTTGAGACAATTTTAAACCCTCAAGCCAAATAGCCTCTGGTCACGGAGTGTCTGGAGCCAATCATACAGTGTACCCGGTTTCAAACGCTCGCTCGTAGGGTCGGAGTGCACCTTAAAAGCTAGTGAAACGCCTGGCTACAGCGACGGTCACGAGCGGAAAACCCGTCGAAAGTTCTTGACTTGTTTAGCACCACTCAGAGGTTGCTAGGAGAAACCAGCAATCAAGTGGTGTGCTGAGGTCCACGACATCCTTCAGTCTTGACAACTTGCTCGGAGTACATTTCAAATCTATGTAAAGGATTTGGATGGGTCAAATTCAAAGAGGTCCTACAAATTCCTTGTGCTGGTGCAAATCTTGATGAAGATTTGGATTTGGCCCACACCAACAAGTGCTCAGAGATCCCAACGACCAAAAGGTTGTAGGAAAGAACAGCAAATCACTCGTTTGTACCATCAGTTTGATTCGACAAATCTCTGGTTCTTCCCTGCTGGTCGTTCTTCAAGGGCTCTCCAAGCAGATTTCATAAGATTTCTCAGTGTCACTTCACTTTCTTGAGGTGAGGTCAGACCTGCAGTCGAGGCAAAGTAGGGGCTGTAAAGAAAGGACTCTTGCACTGTATATATATATATATGCATATATAGTATGCATATGTATCTATATATATATACATATTATAGTATATATTAATGATTTATTAATGACTGTTGTCCTTCCCATTGCTGTTGAATGATGAAGTGCATATCAGTTTCAGCTGAGAACCCAAGCCAACTGTGCTGAGTACTGGACAACCAAGGCCACCAGCTTCCAGGCCCTGTCCTGTGTCTTGCTTTGCACCTTCACAGGAAACCTATAGGACTTATAGGGCCTATGGGGCCAATAAGATCCTGTAAGGATTCTATAAGTTATGCCATGTTATGCCCATGGCCTATAAGTATCTACAAGTCACCAAGTCAAAACGCTTCAGCACCGATGGCTGGGAAACGCCGAACTCTCCTCGACATTGCGGCGGCAGCTTGTACCCCACCAGAAGCAGCCTGCACGCCAGAAACCAGTCACAACAAGTCGAGTGCCCACCGGATCCCACCGGATCCCACCGGATCCCACCGGATCCCACCGGATCCCACCGGATCCCACCGGATCCCACCGGATCCCACCGGATCCCACCTTCAGGTCATTGGATGAAAAGCCAACGCCCCTGAGTTGGGTTCGTGACGGTTAGTGGAAGACGATGGAAGACGTATGCAGTCATTGACAGTCACTGGAACTCGCTACTGTGGTTACTCATTACTGGGCTGGCCACGTAAGATCAGCTGCGCGAAGCCTGCCAACTTCTTGGTTTCAACTTGAGACTCCACATCTCCTTCATTGATTCATGATGCCTTGGCGATGTTGAATCTACTGTAATAGAGATAGAGAGAGAGAGAGGAAGACATATTGATGTAGGTGCCTGTCTGTCTGTCTATCAATCTATCTATTGATCTGTTAATCTAACCATTCTAACCTATCTGATCTCATCATCATAAGCTGACCCAATCCAATCTCATCTCATCTCAACTTTCTATGTAGTGAGTCTAGTCCATGACTTAATCTATAAAATATGTACAGTAGTCCCTCTTACGATTTGAAATATTATTGATGATCGAATCTAACCCATAATCTCATAAGATTAGCGGACACCCCTTGTGAGCATACAATGCCATGTATGGTGCCATGTCAGGTGTTCTCCACTTACACAATGTCAAATATGATCTACTATCTCATCCAAACTAAGTTAAGCATAGTTGAGCTATCAAATCTATCAATGCTGAACTCTTATCCAGTGGATCAACCGTGAACGGTGCCACGCCTAAGTGCACTTTGCAGGAGATCGTCCACCGGCACAGGAGGATAATGCTGCAACATGCGCATGCAGTCGGTGAAGTCACCAGCCAAAAGTACCTCCCAAGCTCGAGAGCATTTCAAGTCGAAGCAGAATAAGAAGCAGGGTTCCAAAATATTTGAAATGCAGTCCAATGCCAACTATAGTCAATTATTACATATATATATATACATATACATATATAAACATATACATATATACATATACATATATATACATATATATATATATACATATATACATATACATATTATATATATATATATGTCCTCATGATCTGTCAATCGTAACATGCAACTTTTTGAAGCAGAGCAGATTGTCTGATCTCAGTGAAGGCCTCTCTGATGCCCATCACCATGGCCACGCACAAGTAACCTAGACATTCTTCAAAGTGACGGCCCATCTGATAGTCATCTGATAGTCATCTGATAGTCATCTGATAGCATCTTTGAAGCATCTTGGAGCAGAGAAGTAGATCTAAAGGTTCGATTTTTTTCATCTTCTAGGCACAATGCAAGAGGGATCTTGTTTTTGGATGTTTTTGGAATTCAACCTGAGGCCTCTGCAGAGAAGAGGATGAGGTCGGGCCAGGTCACCTCCGTCTCTCGCTTGCAAGTCAACTTCCAGTGTCCAAACAGCTTGTGTGGCATGTGTCTGTCCTGATTCCAAAACGTGTTCACAAACTCGTGGTTCATGCACCATCAGGCACCCATGTGTGAACAAACACTTCATTCAGGATCAGCTCTGCATAGTTCGGATGGGTACTGGAAGTTGATATTCAAAGCCCGAGACATGGGGCCTTGGATAGCCTTGGATGGCCTTGGATGGCCTTGGATGGCCTTGGTGCTGAGGCTCTCACTCAGCAAAGAGTCCCACAAGCGAAGCACGTCTGCCATGTCTAGCTCCTGCAATGCCAGGCCGCGGAAGAACGTCGTCCCTGGGGATCCAAAGTTCACATTACAATGACTACAATGCAACGTTGGGAAGCTGCGTCCTGGGTCAGCATCAGGGTGAGCCACCTGAGTACACTCAAAGTGCCATCTGGATGTCATCAGTTGCAGAGGACACATAATGTGAGTCATGTTGTGAGTCATGTTGTGAGTCATGTTGAGACACCCACGGCACTGTGTAGTAAACTGGTGCCACATTCAGTTCTTCCAAATGCTTCCAGACCTGGACTCAATGTGTCCACTTGACTGCCGCATGGTGCCCAGAGGCACACATGGTTTGCCAAGATTGCCAAGGTACACACAAACAGAAAGATCAGAAAGTCAGTTTTGACATGTTTTAACATGCTTCAACCCACCTCTTCGTCCTTTTCCTTCAGCAGCGCGCTGAACTTATCGATTCTGCCCATCATGCCACCCTCCTCGTTGTCCATGGTCTTCACAAAAGCATCTCGCATATCAGACATCAAGAGGCTGAAACAGAAGAACGTGTCAGCCTTGGATTGTGCGACACGGCTAAATATGCCCGCATATATATAGTTGGTTGCTAAGACAAATTATGTGCAAGGACTGTCAAGATGACGGACCACGGATCTTAGTTCGGGAAATCAAAATACTTGCTTAGTTGTGCTAAACAAAGCCTTACAAGTTTTACAAGGATCAATTCAAGTGTCGTTGAGAAAGCCACTAAAAAGGATGGCTCAGTCGAGCATCCTCTGCATGATGACTGTTCAATGGATCCTGTGCAAACAAGTAGTATAGAGGCGCAGAAAGCTCATTCATGCCCTGCACATATCGGACACCACGGTTCAGCTTGGCGTACAGCAGAAGAATCCGCGCCAGCACATCGTAGTGACTCTTGGGATTCACCACATCAATGCACTCTGGATCTCTGCTGGTCACAGCCTGTGTGACTTCCGAGGGATTGAAACCGCTCCTCTGCTCCTACGAACACGGCACAAGAAAGCACACACACTTTGTGCATCTTTGAGCACTATCCTTTCTCGATTTTCGCGGCTGTCCAATACTGACCTTTAGCCTCCCATCAATCTCAAGTTTTGGACTTCAGTCTTCACTACTCTTCACTAGCCTTTGTATTGTGTTGTGCTATGGAACAGGCGCGAACAAGTCCTCCAAACCCAGAGACTCTGAAGACGGAGCTAGGGTTCTGCAGAAAAAGTCCATCTCAGGCCTTTCGAAAGTGAATCTCGGATCCGGTTGCATGGATTCCAGAATCAAACCAAGCATGCAAAACCTGCAGTACAATGCTGACTTGAGATTGTCTGCCTGGTGCGGAGAACATCTTTCCTGATTTGCTCCAGCACCTGCAAGACCGATCTAAACTGATTTTTTCGGCCCCCTACAAGCGGAGTAGCAGATTAGCACTTGCCAATTTGCATGGCGCCACCGCTTCCACATCTGCCCAGTCCTCCGAGAGAGGTACGACATGATCTTCCACAATGTCCGAGGGCCATGTTCCAGGTCGCTCCTAGAAATGGCACATCTCTTGGTACTTGGGTCCATTGCTTAAGATGCGAGGCCGCGTTTCGCAACACGTGGGTTTGTCTTTAAAATATCAAACACCATCAAACACCTCCAAATTTCATCACATTTATCCTCTGGTTATTTAACATAGCCATGGAAAATGACCCATTTATAGATGGTTTTCCCATTAAAAATGGTGATTTTCCATGGCTATGTTAAATAAGCAGAGGGTATCACATTTATCACATTTATCACATTTGTCACTGTGTGTAGCCCCGTGGAGCCCAGTGAACCGCCCATAAAAACGGACACAGAAAAAGACTTCCCTGGCCTGATTGGCTCCCTGAGCCAGGTCGGCGGGGAGCTCGGACAGCAGCTCCTGAAAAACGTTACCCAACAAGCCCCACGGATCTACCATGAAATCATAAGAAATGATAGGAAATCATAGGGAATCATGAAATGATAGCAGGATATCTGAATATTAATAATATGATATACGTATAATATATATATATATGCCTATATGTAAATATATTAAATATATTAATATATATATATATGTAAATATATACCTACATGTGATGAAAGCATATGATTTGCTGATTCCCTCGGCACAAGCTACACCTATCTGTTCCAACGCAAATTCTGCTGAAATGCTGAAAGTGGAGCCGGGGCTTGCGCACGTGTCCGCCCATGCATTCACGTATCTACAAAACATGTCTCAAAAACATGTGTCAAGTGATGACTCAAATTAAATTCAAATTATATATCTCAATGAAGCATTCCGTGTCTCCGTGTCTCCTTCAAAAAGGTCTGGTAGTCTGCCCTTGAACTCGCCAGTGTTGCATCCCAGCGAAAGGCATCGCATGGCCTCAAGGGGATTGCGAGCATTGGGTTGCTGATCATGCATTGTTCACCTGTTGCATTGGATAACCATTGATGATCATTGATGATCATCAATCAAAAAACAACTTGAAACAACAGCACTGTTTAGGTCAACTGCTCATTTCGGGAACTTTGCTAAAGGGTCTATGAATTTCGCGGTCGAGCCACAGGAAACCCAGCAGCAGTTTCCACAGCGCAGCACGCAAGGCAGGTGCCTGACAACGCTCCAGGTTGCAGCGACACGAGCCGAAGTGGAGGCCAGTGGAACACAAAAAATGACACGGTAGTTACTTTAAAATCTTTAAAACATCCTTTAAAATATTTTAAACATCTTTCAAAGATGGCCGGAAGCCAAGAACGCTTTCCAAACAGTGCACCCACTGGCCTCATCTGGGATCCCATCTGCGCAGAGAGATCTTACGACATTGAGGTCAATCTCCAAGACTTTGGGTGAGTCTCCGTCTGTGATGCGTGGGGAAACGCAGTGCCTCAATGGTGCCAACGTCACTGAGAAACCAAAGCAGGAGTGAACGGAGCAAGCTCAGGCTGAGCTGTGGTTCCGACCATTGAAGTCATAGCACAAGGATGCACAAAGCACGTGAACGTTCTGACATGGTTTTGAGATGTTCTGACAATCAGACATGAAGCAGAACTGATGAAGTGGTAGAGATTTGATGCAGTCAGAGAACAGCAGCCGGATCAGACGCGATGCTAACTTCTCGCTCTCAGTTTGCAAAGCCTGACATAGGCCACCCAATCTGTTGGAATTCAACGAACGTGTCAACGCGAAGATGCAAGAGATTAATGTTTCACAAAAAAAAAACTCATGTGCAGCGCATCGACTAGAGTCATGGCTCATGACTCTTCCAATTATATCTTTTCAGAGCACAAGAAGTGATAGTTTGATATAGTCTGATATAGTTTGAACATGTTTCAAGTTTCAACTGAATTTGCGGCCTGCTCCTGTACATGCTGCAACAAGTTCGTCACAGACGCAGGCAGTGATTGCTCACCAGCCCGCCTTGGGCCCATGGCGGCCGATGCACATCAGGTGCCATTCAGCGAGATTTTCAATCATGAAATTCTGGGGCTGGACTTCTATCGTGTCTAAACAAGAATTTGGTAGATGATAGTAGAAGTTTAGAAAGAGAACAAATATAAACAAACAAGATGGCAATGGCGATATCATGCTTTGCCGCTGGTCGTGTTGCCTCTGTACTGTCTGCCAGTTGACCAGATTGATGTCGACATAGGTGTCCAAATGCTGAATGTGTTCGATGCAGGACTGGTTCATATGCTGCATATTCATGCATATTCTGTTGTCAAAGCTACCTCTGCTTGAAGAGAGGCTGTTCACTGTCGGCATCGACAGGTGTCTCATCGTGTATAGTGTTTCCACTCTAGCAAAAAGCCCACTCAGTGTCTCAAGGGAAACCCCCTTCATTCATTCTTTCACTGCGCAAAAGGTAGATCCTTGCTGCCATGCAATCATTCTCAAATTCGGATACAAAATCCTTAGCCTTAAAACCTTAAAAGTAACGAAACCATGGTGACCATGGTGCATCTGTACAGACTTCGGCAGGTGCGGTGCCACTCAAAGGAACAGCCGCAGAATGTACCATTGAAGAGCTCCTCCGTATCCATGGTCACAGGACACCGAATTGACACTTTCCGTCTCGTTGGTCGAGGACAGAAACTGTTCCAAGCCTCCATCAAAGGTGGCAGGCGGTCAAAGGCAGCCACACAGATTTCAAAGCTTTGAAGCATTTTGACCGATAGTCTCACGTGTGTAGTCACCAATAGTCTCCTGGACCCACTGATTGCAGAATTTTCCAGCAGGATCCATTTGATTGGCCAGTCGTCGGAAATCGACCAGAGCTGTGCCATACAATTGTTCCAAACGGGTTCGTCGCATTGCGAAGAGCTTGCCCCAATGGGGTCGTGCATCAAAGGGCTCGAGGACTTTTTCAATCTGCGGGAGCGCCATCGACTTCACCTCTACTTCAGCTAGCTGCCAGGTGAAATGAAATCCGACACTGCCGTCATCTCCCACATAGTCCCTGTTGTGTGGGCTCAACAACAAGTCATCTGCCGCAATGGCTCGAATCTCTGAGGCCATCAACCATTGTCGAAAACTGCCAGAGATCCCTGCAAGTGCGCAGAGAGCTTTGGCCGCACAGCGTCGAGGCACAAAGTATTCAGATTGCAGTTCCTCGCCTCCAGAATTTGGAACGTGTTCCATTCTGAAATGTGGAAGTCGTAGGTGCCAAGGTCCAGGGGTGCCCTGTTCAGTGCAGGCACTGGGATCATGTCCTTTCAATACGTGCCGTTGCTCCTTGCACTCCTGACACCGCTCCAGGACTGTCGACAAAGAGGTTGACTCCGTTGAGGTTTCAACGCGATCCTTCAGCCACACGGAGAACTCCATGTCGTCTCCCTTCCCTGCCCACGTGGTCCAAAGGCTGACTGAATAAGCAGCTCCCAAGACAGAGTCCAGCTCCTCCTGGGAGGATAGGTCACTGAGTCGGAGGCCATCAAAGCAGCGCTGGCACACCAAGAAGCTGGGCTCAAGTCGCAGGACGGTTTTTATCACAACTCCCAAGCAGCCTAGCCCGACAACGGCCTGTCGCAGCCTCTCCGGCTGAGCCTCATTGAACTCCACCAGCTCGCCAGAGCCGTTCACCAGCTGCAACGCCACCACCACCGTTGCCAGATTCCCGTTGCGTTGCCCTGCTCCATGTGTAGCAGAAGCTATTGCCCCAGTCACTGAAATGTGCGGCAACGAAGCCAAATTGGGAAGTGCCAGGCCATGCTGGTGCAAAATGGGGCACAACTCTCCATACGTGATGCTGCCATAGACAGAAACACTGGGCTCGTCTCCGTGGTGCACTTCCACTTTCGACATGCGATGCAAAGAGATCAGCTCCTCCGCATCAGCAATGTCATTGAAGCAGTACCGCGAACCCAATACACGTAAATGCGATGATTCTCGAACCACATCTTGGACCTCACTGATGCTGGTAGTCTCATGCAGCTTTTTTGCTTGGTACTCAAAGTTTCCACACCAGTTCTTCAATCCAAGGCTCATCCCAAGCGATGGCGCGGAATCGGAAAGCTCAAGCTGTCAAGCACGGTCAAGCTGTCAAGCTCAAGCCAAAACGATTGAGCCAAAATTGCTACGTGGAGACGACCCTGGCCTCACATCTCCAAGTGTGTGCAATTTAGCCTCAAAGACCACCAGGTGTACCAATCAGTTACCCCGTGCCGTAGCTTCAAAGTGCCCTCAGGTTGGCCGTTAGTTCAAGAGCTTCCAAGGCCTGCAGCGCGGCGTGGTGTCGCCGCGAGGAGCGTTGACCTCAGGTGCTGCAGTGACCTCTTCCACCACCAGCCTGGTTTCGATGCCCTTTTTTGCCCTTTTTTTTATCTCTGTTTGTGGGTGAAGTGGCTGGGTAAGGCTTGGTATCTGTGTGATGCCTGCGGGGATAGGCTGGCTACAGCCTACACTCCTGGATTTTGGCGCCAAAACAAGAAGGAGAATGGGTTTTTAAATGAACAAAAGGGGAACACAGTATCTGTGAATGGAAGGAATGGGAGGTAGAAACTTGTTGCAGCTCTGCTACCGCTCTGTGCCTTTGGCGCCGCAGGGAGTGCTGTACGGTCCTTCGTCGCCAGATGCGTTTTCTATAAGACCATGCGTTGTTGGATTGTTTGTTCCTTTCAAAAACTCAAAATGTGCAAAGGTTCGTTTTCTAAAACAGTTGCTTGCACTAAACCTTCCAGTGCAGTATGAGCAATACCCTGAATAGCAAAATATAGTTTGACAAATTTGCAGTGTTGCATGTGGTCAGTCCAGCAAGGCAGATTGCTTCAGCAAATCTGTGGTCTGGAGCATGGCGCTGGGAACCTGCAGTTTCCACAGGTTCCATGGGCACTGCAGCAGCTGCACAGCTGCACCAACCCGCCTCTGGTTCGTTGCTGCTGCGCACCGTCGTCATGCCTGAAGTTTGACAACATCGCGTGCTGCAAAGTGTAGTGCTACAACAATTATTTTAGAATGCCTTTTTGGTTCGCATATGCAAATTAAACAACTATGAAAAACTTCACGTGGCTAAAATGATTTCCAAATTTCAAATATGCTATATTATGTATGTATACATAGACAATATAATATCAGTATTATATATATATTACATATATTACATATATTACATATATCACATATAGCGTATATAGCGAGGCCACAAACTAATTCGCTGGGGCTGTCCTGATGGCAGACGCGACGTGTCCAGCGAGTCTTTGTCATCCTTCTTTGCGGGCCTCAACACTTCACTGACTGCATGTTTCATTTGGTGTTAGTCCGTCTCAAACCAAGCAATACATTTATGCAAAATTATGCAAATACAACAAGTACATTCAGAGGGTGGGCTCTACACCAAAAGTTACAGTGTGAAATAATTGAGCCAGTACCAAAGTTGGAATCGCAAGCCATCTACAATCAGCCACGCTCAGCTCCCAAACTTAATGTTAAAATTCAACTTCATGTTCAATTCCTGGCCGTCACACTCGCAGATATCTGGGCGGCATTGTTCCAACCCGAACCAAGACATTGATAAAATGCGGAGTTTAGATGCGTACAAGCTGTCACCCTGCTCTGTCGCAACACAGTCATGAGTCGGGGAGTCAGTATGGCTACATGGCAAAGCTTCTACCAGGCTAGATTGAGTGTCCAGGTTGCCTATCAAGAAAGAAAAGTCAAAGGAGATAAGAATGCCCAGATCCTGCTTGTATTCGACCATGGAAACAAAATGAAACAAACACACACAGAGACACACGCAGAGGTGTGTCTGCTTCTGTATATGCAACAGTCCAAAGAGTCCAAAGTGCTTCAGGGCCTCGTCTCCTGGTGGAAGCACGACCTGTGCCAATGCTCTGAATTTGGGTCTTACAGCGAAGACAATGATTTTTTTGATCTAATCCATGACGTTATCTGGCAACTGCCCGATCTATACAGCCATGAATCATTTCCACACAGTCTTTAGACATTCGCAGACTGATCCTTCCCAGACTCAAGCTGACTCAGGCTCAAGTAAAGCATAGCCATGGCAGCTGGCCTCGATCTCATGCCCAATGCCTGGGACTGCTCTGCCAGTCGTGTCTCAGCCCAGAACCCTGGCATTGGTGCTAGGCCTATCTAAATCATTCCGAGCGTGCCTTCTGCATTGGTGCCTGCACCAAAGGCCTGGAAATTAGAGGTTCCAACAATTGGATCACAGAAAGAAAGACACGTGGCAACCTCGAATCACCATGCCACTACTTCAGTGTAGATACCTCCAGCCGCTAGGTAAATTTGATCCACTTTTTTCCAAGCTAAATCCGCTGGCCTTTTGCATGGCAGGCAGCAGCTCTGAACTGCCAACACCTCGACAACTTTGTCCACCAGCAGGTGGACATCTTTTTCCCGACAACTGTTTTTAAGATCAAGATCCGCAACTTTTCAAAAAGAGAAACCCACAAATCCATACAAATCCATACAAATCTTGCCATTCAAAGAATTGCCGGTGTCCTTCGACTCTTGGACCTAATCCACAGTGTGGCATCCTTTTCAGCAAAATGTTGAGCATGCTCAGCAACCACCGCTGGGAGCAAAGCATGCACTGCCCTTCAATGCCAGCAGGTCCACCTGTTACCCAATCATACTTAGACATGTGTTGCAGGCGGTGTCAGCAATCCTTGTGGAACAACACATGCTCACAAACAAACAAAAAACACCATGGCATACAACTCAGAATGAGAAGCCTCTCCAAATTAACTCTCAGGCCCAATCTGCTAGGTCCAGTGGCTTTCAAACATCAGTGACTGTCCGTGTCAACACTGGCCTTCAAGCCACTACCACCTGCTGCCACAGCAGCTGCTGTAGAAGAATTGCTGAAGGCAAACTTCTGCTTAATGGAGAGCGGCGCCTGTTTCCAAGGGCGGCGGAGTCGGCTGAGTTTCTGTTCGCTTGGGCGGTTTCCAAACCTGGCGCCGCGACCCACCAGCGCTAATCGATAGGAGGCACCTGGGTCAGCAGAATGAGTCGAATGAGTCGAATGAGTCGAATGAGTCACTCTTTGTTTCCTGCCAGGAAGTAAGAGTCTTTGTATATCTTTTGCTGTCTTACATTGTCTTCCTGGATCTGCATGTCTCAGATCAAAGTGATATTACGAGATTACCATAGATTACCTCTCAGTCCGTCAGTGATGTTTGTTGATGGCACTGGCTTCCATTGGCTTCCGAGGTGAGCACCCATCTGGAACATTCTCAGCGTTCAGAAGACATACCTCCATCTTCCTGCACACGTAAAACCCAGTGAGCCCACCAAGTGTCTCAGCAAGTCTGGTAACACGACTCCAACTGTTCCACTTATCCACGATTCCGCTGCTTATGCTGCTTTACTGGATTTTAAACATGTTTCCTCTTTGTTTTCTTACATGAAAGAGAAAATCCTTGCCTGTGGCCAAAGCCCGCTTCCCCGAAAACGTCAGGGTCGGCGAGCTACCCTGCCCAACACTGCCCAAAGACATGCATGCGACAAGGTCGGGAAGGCAAAATGTCGCAGAACTTGCCAAGTTGGAGACTCTGGTATATCACTAGTCCATATCACTCCTGTGATGGCAATGATTCTGTGGTGAGAACATGTGAGAACAGTTCAAAAATGTTCAAAAAAACTCCTTTCTTTTGCCGAGGTCCCAATAGCTGCATTGTCCAGAGGGATCTGGGCAGGCGCTTGCAATCAAGCACCAGAGGGCCTCATCTTTGCAGCGAGGCCCTCCAGGCTACGCGCAGCTCGTGTTAAAATCTGCAAACGCAGATGATTTCGGCACCGCAGCCACTCCAGAGTCGAGATGTAGAGACGGTGGAGTGGCTTGCATGAAGCTGATGAAACTCTGAGGTGACGCTGAAAACTGCAAGGTTTCACCATGTCTCACAAAACATACAGAAGGTGCTTGGATGTCACGACTTCAACTGTGATGGTACCAACCACATAAAGCAAATGACAACTTTGTTCAGCGTCACATCAGCCTGCAATCAACTGCACGTACAAAATTCAAGCTCAGGATTCCAGATGGCATGGGCTTAGGCTGCACAGGCATTGACAGATCATGATGTCATCAAATGTAATCATTATATGATTTACAATATATATATATATATATAACTTTGGTGTCCAACTGATCCACGGCCTCTGACATCCCTTCCATCTTTTAGATATCAAATCAATCACCGCTCACGACATGAAAGCAGTGCAAATCCAACCGGGCACTTCCTGGGTCTTCCTAGGCGCAAATGCTTACAGGAACAGGCAGCACAGAGAGTTCTCGCAGCTGCACATCGTCTGACGGCAGTTTTTCTGTCTGGCCCATCCCAAAGCTTTGCAAGAAGCAATTGCCCTCTACTTGAGATCTTAATATAAAACACAAAAACACACGAACACGCGTAAGCTTGGCTTTGTTTGCATTAAACTCAAATCCCTGTTTCAGTTTTGCTTGCTTCGTTCAAGGCCCCGGACAATGTGCAGCAAAAGATGTCAGGGCTGTATCATCTTTGATCTGCCCTCAGCCTTTCCAGTGGTCGAACATCCAGAATGTCTTCAACTGCCGCAGATTCCAGAGTCACGGACGACGGACACCTTAAAATTCAGCAAATCTTTGGCAAAGAGGTGGAAGAACATACATGAACATACCACATCACGGCAGTGGAAAGACATTCCATTTGTGTTACAGGAAAGCCGCGAGCCACGGAGTGTTTGGCTTTCCTTTGTGCGGTTTCTTCATCTAGATATCACCAGCACACCTTGCACAATTCCATGGACCCTCCCGCAGGCCCTGTAGATTATTGTTCAGCGCAACAGGGCAGCTTAAACAACTTTTCCCTGGTATTTTCTACTTCTAGGCGCGTATTCAGTGTCAAATATGAACTTGTTGAAATGTCATGTTCCTCTCAGTGTGGCAACAATATCTAGTTGCAAACTGATTCTGCTTGAATCAAGCTGCCCTGCACCTTTGAACGGAAGATTGGGTTTGTACATTGACGTTAGTTTCCTCGGACAGTGAAGTTGTGGCTTTGAGCCCCGATCAACTCCTCAATCATGAGTTGTCCAGTAGTTTTCATGTTTGTTCTTCCTGCGTGCGAACGGAGCCCGCACGCATGTTTCGAGAAGAGTATACTGAGTATACTTGAACAAATGCCCATGAGCACAATATGTGAACGATATGACGGTCCCAGGTCTCAACTTCCAGATCTGCTGGACGTAGAAATACACATGTTACCATAGGATATAAAATTATATAAAACGTTTATAAAACTACGTATGTAAATCTACGTAACGTATTTTTTTTCTCTAGCGCCAATGAAGGTGCGCGGCTTAACCAAAAGATTAAAATCAAATTTGGAACACGGGAGGGTGTCAATTTTCTTAGTGTTTACTCGGTAAGCCCGGAGGCTGTTGGCCGATGGCCAGGTGGATATAAGGCGACCGTATGAAAAAGAGTGGCAACATCCACGTAACGTATATGTGTATACATTTGTATAGAAATGACTTGGTGCTGCTGTGTCCAGAGCGTATTGTGGAAGTTGAGCCCAGATGTCCTTTCTTGCCAGACCATGAGCCCCATGAGCCGATGCTGGATAGATCCGATATCTTGAGTTCAGATGTAGTTGCCACAAAGATCGGATATCTTGTATTCACATGTTGCCACTACAATTATCGTCCTCTTGTGTTGTACAATGCTGTACATCTTCAGGCGCTTGGCTCATGGTGCTGGCAAAGGCAACGCCCCCACAGGACCGGCTGATGAGATGGGAATGGGATCACCTCCAACATGCTCCTGGAAGCCAATAAAATTTCAATAAAAAGAGAAGCAAACATCACTAAACTAAAAGAGTGTTGACACATGTTGACGCTGGTGCTTGCGATGCATTCATTGCCTCTGGGATCTTGTTGGTTTCAAGAAACAGCAAGAGCACTTCGAATCCCTCTTCACTGGCATAGCTTGAAGCAACACTGGGAAAGCTCACAGGCAGACATGTTCCTTAGATCCCTCACATCCCTCATGCCGAGTCGTCATCCACGGCAGGATCACAGATATCCCCCCAACTCCTCTTGCATCCATTGCGGCAGCACCCCATCAACAGCCGCTTCTTGGGCAGCTTGATGTGCCTCCGATTTGTGCCATGTGAGGATTCCATGGTGGGATTTTTCAGGGCTATCCACGCCCTCGCACCTCTGAGAGCACCCGGCGTGCCCAAGAAAGTTGAGCCTCAAAAAAATTGTGATTCTGACTATTCCTATGGAAATGGAATCATATGCCCCAACTGTGCAGTTTGCACTAAAGACCAGAGGAAATCAAATGAAATCAAGATGATTTCGAACATCAACTCGTTTTATGCTTCCATCTGCATCAACAGCACACAACTAAGAGCGAAACCAAGTCCCATCCAATGCGCCCGGCGCTGCCCTGCGAAGCGTCAAAGAATCTCAAAAACCCTGATGAAGTATGACCAAATTGATTTCAAACAAATAAAACATCTAGTCTATAGTCTAGACATATATAATTACATATATATATATATACATATATATATATATAGATATACACTGAGAAAATGGTAGTCTCATGTGTGACAATCCGATTTCCGAAGACAACCCTTCGCATCCAGGAATCCACTTGGCCTCAGAGCTGTTCCGTGGAAAGACCTCGAAAACAATTGCGGTTGCTTTGCACATGCGAATCTTCACTGGTGAGAAACATGAAGGATATAAAGATAAATTAAAGATAAATTAAAGATATATATATATAACTTTTGTGAAGGCAAAATGTCTCGTTTCCTTGTTGGACAGTCTGGGTCTCCAAACATCAACACTCGCCTGCCGCTGTGCTGTGGCAAAGGCATCCTCAATTTCCTGGTCGGGAGGTCTTCCCACACCCTGACCACCCCCTTTTCCTATTGACATCGATTGACCTTACACAAGCCATCTTCGTCATCTTCGTCTTGGTGTATCTCTAAGTTTGAGCCTGTCCATGACAAGACTGGTCCTGCTGCCATGTTCCTCCCTGGGACTCCAGGGGAGCGTTTCTTTGTCGCGACGTGACTGAATTTCGATGCAAAATTCTGAACTCGTTTCATCATGTTTCATCCCTTTTCAATACCAAGCGGAAAACTCTGCATTCCATGAAAGAGCCTGGGGAAGAGCAATGACTCTCCCTTTTGAAATCCGATTCCAGCCTGAATCGTTGGTAAGACAACCTTGCTGAGGCCCAAGAGCCTCCAAAAGAGAAGCGCCAAATTTGGTTATTGGATGTTATTGGCATCAACACTATGAGACCGCAAACAGTTGTGTCCCTGCACCTATCCATTCAGCATCCATTCAGCAACTTTCATTGCCTCTTCGCAGCCAGCACTCGGGCGCTGCTCATGCGTCTGGGACTTCGCTGACGTCCTGTTCAGAGCTTGGTCGATGCTCCTTGATGCTCGTTGATGCAGATGATGATCAGAATGATCATCGTTCAGGAATATGCTTGATTTTGAATCTATAGGAGCTATAGTGTCTGAGCTTGCACAAGCCAAATATACACACATATACCCCAGGGGCCCATGATTCATGAAGTGTTGAACAATGGCTTCAACAGACCGCCTTCTCGGCCTTTTCCCTCATCTTTCGCATCATCTTCATGAGATTCCTCCTCAAGCTGGAAGCTGGAAGCAGAACCAGAACGAGATAGAACGAGTTTTTGATGTTTTTGGTTGACATCGTTGCCGCAATGTCCAGCGATGTCCTGTGGGACGTGATTCCATGGTTCCGGCAGGCGAAAGCCAACTTTCAACATCCTAAGGGGCCAAGAAACTGCTTTGAATACAGCAGAAATCAAATTGGAACATGGCCAAGACAGTGGGGAGTTTCCTGTAAAAGTCTCTTAGCAACTATCTTGTTCAGCTGAGAGTCTGCCGATGTTGGCGCGCGTGTAAGCCACCTGTTTGGCCAAACAGTGGTATGCAAATCATGTAAATAGGCCATTCAACTCAAATGGGATTGCTCCTGTTTTTAGTGGGAGTGGTTGCTCCCAGATTCTGAATTTGGCTGAATTGCAGCCAAGACCACGGAGGAACTCTGGCGGTTCACATGTGGTTGTAATAACCTCAGCACTCCACTGTCATGACATCTGGACTGTGAGGAAGTGTTCTTCTACTGCAGCTTTGTATCATGTGATATCCCATGACAACAAACTTAATGTAAGATCCTATGTATACAGTATACATAAGGTTACACATCTATAGATGTGTCTCTGCAGCACTATTTTATTTTGTTCAATCTGTGTCAAGCTTCTGACATAATAATCGCCCTTTGTTGGCCAGTACCATCGCAGCCATGTGTCCTGTCACATCTTTTCGTGTTCGAAAGACGTGGCTTTCCACTGAAATCGACATGGACTGCAGCTTCCCTGGATTCTATGTGGGAGATCGTGGGAGCACTTCTGACACGCAAACGGTGCTCGGCAAACGGAAAAGGGAAAAAAAAAGGGAGCCAAAAACACCATTAACCGATCATTAACCGATCATTAACCGATCATCAACCGATCATTAACCGATCATTAACCGATTATTAACCGATCATTAACCCTCGCACATGACATTCACAGCAAACGAGCAAGTCGCAGTCCATGGGAAACTGCATCCACTGCGACGCACTTGGCCTCAGCGGGTGGACACAAGTGAGGCAAGCTAAGCAGCTAAGCAAACTTCATCTGTAAGGATCACAAAATTCACAAAGCACTTGGCACTTGATTGGAAATTTTGGAAAACATCCTTGAGCAGCAGCACCCAGCATGGGGGTTGACGAAGCTGTGCCACCTCCGCACCTGCGTAGTTGACATCAAACCAAGAAATCGACTTTGCACCCGCATGTCTCATCATGTCTCCAACTTATGGTGATCTGAAATTTATGACTCTCCAAAATAGGGGTCAACCAACTCAACCATGTTGCATCCTATCCTATCTCACTTCCATGTAGAGCAAAGCAAAACACAAAAGATAAAGAAAAGCATGGAGTTTGCGATTTCTGTATGTACCGATATACAAAATAATCAGCGCAATGACAAAGCAAGTTACTGCAATGCAGACTGCAAATACTCTTGAAGTGCGGCAAGCTCATTGTCACAGTGACATCCAGCCAGACTCTGCCAACCCGTACAATGGCTTCTACGGGTATCAAGAAGATTCATCAAGTATCTATATATCTGCATCAGTGGAAATCTGGCTCACAATGGCAAAGATCAAAGATGACCAAAAAAACAAACAAATGTCCGCTGGACGCTTCGCTCAGGCCTCACTGTTTTCCAAAAGCTCACCATGGCCGCCCTTGCATCCCTCAGTCAGGCCTGAGAGTTGCGAGATGCGCTGTGCGCTACACTGAGGTTGGTGGACTCTGTCTACGTCCATATTCTCGACATGATTTCGACATGGTTTCAATGACTTGACCGAAACAATTCAGCTGGCAGGACGATAAAGCAACTTGAGTCGAAAAATATCTAAAAAACGATTTTGTCAAATAGGTTACCAGAAGCTAAGCGTCAGACAAAGTGCAAAGGCCGGCACTCCTTCAAAGGGTTTTGGCTGATGCACCTGTCTCTATTAATGTGATCTAAATCAGCATTCAGGTTAGGCTTTGCAAATTCAGTGTATCTCCAAGTTTGCTTGGAAAACCAATTGCTTATACAAGATGTGTTTGCTTTTGGATTTATCCAACAGAAAAACTGCAATCTCCTTGTGTTGTGTTCATACTCAGGGGCCTGCTCAAACTCACACTTGGATTCTATGATTTTGCCACACCAAACGCTTTTCACATTATACCTATTGAACGGTGGAATGCGCGTGTCTCACCCTGACATGATGATACCCCAACCAACTGCTCCTCCGCTGTCACACTCCATCGGCTCTGGACTGGAAGAGCCATCCTGCAGAGAATCAGATGGGACCAGATAGCAACATTAAAATTCACAATGTTGGAACCGAGCGCCACGTATCCAAGATCTTCCAACTCTTGCGAATTACACTTTTCCCAATTAGAAACAGTAGGGAAAAAACATGAAAAAACCATCCATGTCACCATTGTGAAGAAATCCCTTCCTCGTCAGGAAAATAGGGAGTGTGCAAATTCACCGGGAGGGTCCGGTGAGCGCCACCAAAATTTGCCTCGTAGACCATACGGTCCATACGAAGCGACAACTTGGACAACTCGGAATCGGTTTTTTATCTTCTGCGTTTGCATGACAGGACTCCATCAGACGATCCTGTGCTGATGGACAAAACAGTAATTGTAGGCCAGGGCGCCGCAGAGGCGAACTTTTGCATGCGAATCGTAGTGAAGTCCTCGAAGCAAAGCAGGAAACGACGATTGGTGATGAAATGTGATAAATAAGAGCAAGCAGCAGGCAAAGTATTCGTATCTCCAAACTCCAAACTAGTTTCAGGTGATTTGTGTCAAAAAATCCTTCATGCGACGACCAACTACTGTGAAAAATGTTGTCTTCAAAAGCTTTGTCGCTATGAACAAAGACTGGCTACCCGACAGTGTCTGGAACCTCTAAACGGAAGAGGTCACAGAGAAGCCTGTTGAGACCCCACGAACATACGCTCAAACAATCAGCCGCTGTAAGAAAATTGTCAATCACTTGTCAAATCAGCCGATTTCATCCACAACTTCGAAAGCTTAAAGAGCTGTGAAACACAATCTGACAATCCCTGCACAGTACTACACAGCTCTCAAGAGGCCTCGGCAGCCGCACCGGAATGCCATAATGCCTCACTTCAGACTGCACAGGCCCTGCACAGAAAGCCCCTTCCGAGAACTCCTCGGTACATCAGTGGTCCTGCCTTTCTGCGGTGGTGTCAAGGCTGTAGTGAGACCTGCACGTGTGCACACCACAGATTGCGCATCCCGCAAGATCATCATCCAGGCCACAAGCCACAAGCCACAAGCCACAAGCCACTCCTTTTGATGCTGAAAGGCTGAGAGTCAGATCCAAGGTCAAGACCCGTTGAGACCCAGGACGTACGCTGCGTGGACAAAGGGAAACCTCCGAGCAGATGAAAATCGTAGCAGTAAGATCTGAGTCATGATGAGTCATGGTTCATACATGATTCATACATTGGTCCATTATTTGCTCGGAGATACAGAAACATCCAGAAACATGCTGCGGAACAAGCAGCGCTGGAATTGGATCGAACCCTCACAACAGCAGCAAGATTGAAACTCTGTACATCTCTTAGCCAGGACGTGTCTGACGTGTGACCATGTGTCTCTTGCAAATTCCATGCAGCTGCTGTTCAGGTGCTCAAATCGATTGACCTCACCGGAGTTCCCAACGTTCCCAACGGAGTTCCCAACGGAGTTCCCGGCTTCGTTTTGCCCAAGAGCTCCAGAACAGCTGCCCGCAGCTCGGCCACCTTGGCCAACGTGGGCTCAGAGAATGAGACTTGACATATACAATTCATGTAATTCATGTTAATGTTGGTTGTCCATTTACAAATCTGGCTTTTCATGCTTTTCTAGACCACACTGATGTTATGACAAATCTTATAATCTGTTTCTGTATACATGTTTACTTATATCTATCGAAGAAATCTAAGAAACTAATAGTATCAATTTGTTTTTTGTTTGCGTATACATATATATATATATAGATACATACACGTATATTTATCTATTTTATATTTATATATGTGTGTGTTTTATGCTTGGGGGACTTGGGGCCTACGCAAGTATCCTGAAGGTCTTCATTGGCCTCTTTCCCTCTGCAATCCACTGCATGCTGAAACCCACACGGTCTCATCCAGCACTCTTTTTTTCTCATTCGAAAAACACATCATGGAGTTTTCTCGAAGCTTTAAGCAATTGATCTCCAGGCAGGACAAAAGTGACGTTCACGTTGGAAGCGCCATGGGACACCATTTCAACCTCAGCAATAGCAGGGAGATCCACTATTACAAAGAGTCTTCTTGACCTGTACCGATGGGCACTGATGGTACTACTTCAGAAATCTCTTGGGCGCACCAAAAGTATCCAAAAGTGCTTTTTGTGGCTCTGGAAAAAGGATCAGAAACTCTCAGCGATGAGGTGCGAGGTGTCTTGGTATGTCTCGGTGCTCGCTAGTCAAAAGACTCTGCCTCCAAGGTACGTTTATCTTCATCTCCTGTTATGGAAATTATGGGAACAATTGGGAACAAAGCCCAGGGATCTCAGAGCATTCGAGCATTCTTGCATTCTTCATGTCTTTATCACAAGCATCCTTTGAGACACATCGACTTGTCAGTAACATAGGGCTGAAAGAAGTGATCGCAGCTTGTTTGTCCGATAAATAGAAGCTCAATAGCAAATGATATCATGCCTCGCGGCCTCAGGGGGCCCTCGACTGACAAGCTATGGAGTAATCCAAACTTTGAGGTCGGCTGCTATTTCAAAGAAAACCACTCCTCCAGCTCTGTATGGAAGCTAGACTCCAGAGACTCCAAATTTCACTCCCCTTTGGACTGTCTCCAACCCTGACTCCTCAAAGGCAGCAAAAGCTTCCCGGAGAACACTCACAGAATCAGATTTCGGAACAATAAGGGTGAGCATTGCCACATTGTGCAGCACCGATACCTCATTGGGTCAGGGATTGATCTCAAGTTGGCAATCATCTAACAACATCTTTCGTTCGGATAAGTGCACAGGAGCTATCCTTTGTGACACTCTTGAAGTCAAGCTGTGTTCCATGACCGAACCCAAAAAATGCTGAGACCGAGGATGCAAGAAGGGCTACCTGATGACAGCTTGAAATGCCAGGACTACTGGCCACATGGCAAATAGTTCAAATAGTTCTGTTATGTTGGAAAACTGGACCAGGCCCTGTTCAACGGAATATGAAATCCATCTGAATTCCATCTGAATTCCATCTGAAACCTTCGTGATCCCTTTCTTAGTCTTTCTTGACCTTGCGAAGTGTTCGCGCAAACGTGCTCCCAAGGTACCTTGGCCACCTCTTGAAGTTCTCGCTCAATAGCAGGAACATCGACATGCTTGTAGCCTGGCATGCAATTGACACCTGAAGGAGTGAATCTGAGTGGATGGTACAGTCATGGAATGTAGTGAATAGTGAATCAATCGTTCCCCACTGAAGCTCTGTCAATGGTTGACTTAGTTGCTGAGCTTCGCTTCACTGCCTTTTGCTTCGTGCATCCTCACTGGCCTTCATCCAGAGTAAGAGACACGGTCACTTCCGAGGTGGCGATCACATCCACCGATGCAGCGAACTTGTTGAAGACTGAGAACACATGGGCCAAAAAACCGTGCTGGCCAAGCATTCTGCCTCAAGGTCTTTGAAAAAGAACCAGTAAGGCGTTGTGTTCTCAAACAGCGATGGACAAGAAAGCCGCTAAACCATGTCGACAAAGCAAACACATGCTGCTATCAAAATGGATGCACGTGTCGTCAGAGTATGCTGAGACTGGCACTACTCTTGATTACCTTGGCGGGCACGGATTGCTACATCAAATGCTCCGCGATCTGAATGTTGGAAATGCATGAATTTCACATCGCCTTTTTCCAATGATGGAATGACATGCAAAAAAAGGCAGACTCAACTCAACAGCTCTGCAAGGGTTTGGTGAAAGTGTGGACAATGCTGAAATTGGTCAGGCCTTAAGAATCATTTCGATGCTTCTTTCGGTTCAGGCTTCGATTCAGGTGAATTCAGGTCAGAATCCGCAAGCTTGAATCCGCAAGCTTGGAAGACAAGGGCAAAGAGACTCAACTGCAAATGAGAAACGATCATGGTGATGTTGTTCTTGCTGCTAATGGCTGCTACCCGTCTTTCTCTGGTATCGCTATCAGAGAGCTTGGGCACAATTCTGGTGCCTACAAACACGGCTACATGACAGCACTCGACCGCACTCGGAGTAGCGTCACTGCTTGACCGAACAACACGCGAACAGCTTAACGGAACCCTAACGGAACCTGGATCTTCAGGCGCCATGGAGTTGCGCACGCTCATTGGCACCCCTGCTTGCCACGCAGGCAGTACTGCAGCAGGGTGCACCACCTTTGAGCCAAAGGTTGACAACTCTGCAGCCTCTTCAAAAGTCAGAACTCTCACCTCGGATCGACTGCAACAACTCAAATTCATTTGCTTGACTGATTGTACTCAAAAGTTCACCACCCGACATGAATACAATCCATCTGTTCGATTCTCCTTTTGTGATCTTTGTGCCATTCATGGAAAAGTCAGCTTTGTTTACAGCAAGAGTTGAAACTTTATTCAAAGGAGCATCCATGTACTCACAAAGTCCAATGACATATTCCAAGGCCACCTGTGTATGGAAACTGCAAGACTCTGCTTCCAAGTAGCTGGTTTTGCGCTGGGAATCACACGAGGGTCCGTTGTCTGTACTCCACTGACGTCTTTCCAGATTTGGATTTCTGCAGCTTTCAGGGCTGCTCCAATGACAGTGGCAGTGAGGTCAGAGCCATCTCTCCCAAGAGTAGTGATGACTCCCTTGGAGTCCTGATGCAGGTCATCTACAGTCACGAGGCACAACTGCAATGATCAAAAAGTAGCTAGTTATGTTGACATATGTTGACTAAATGCTGCAGTCTGGTGCCGACTCCTTGGCAATATATCCAGTGACAATGGGAACGTAAGCATAGTTGAGCTTCAAAGGCCCTAGATGGTGCTGAATGGCCTCAAGACAGTGGGACAGTGGGACTGCATGCTGCACATGATACCACACACAAAATCAAAGCCGAAGCCCCCACTGACTCCACAAACAATACCAAATCTCTGTCAATTCATGCCGAGGATCACTGAACGTGTCATCAAGAATCTCTACAGATGAAAAGGCCGAATCAGCAGAACCGGAGCCACTTGTCGTTCTCATGCCAATTTGCCATGCATCCACAGGTCGGGCTTCGACCTCCTGGCACAAGTGTCGACTGGGAAGCATCCATTGAGATCTGGTGTGTATGTGTATATATATATATGTGTGTGTGTGTTTTGTATTATACATACATAATATATATATATATAATGTAATATATATATATATATACTATATATATGTGTATTATAATGTATATATAATACATAATGTGTATATATATATATATTGTGTATATATATATATATTGTGTATATATATAGTATATATAGAGAAACAAGGGGAAAAACAAGAAACCAAAACCAGTTAATCTCCCTTGTCTCAAAATCATGCAAACGCCCCTTTTTGCTATGGGACGCTTGAGCCGAGTAAATTACGTTAGGCTACTATGACCAACCCTGCTGGATTAAAAGAGGGGGTCAATTCCTAATCTATTTACACGGCTACACCTACAACTAACGCATCTAGTTGGAGGTTGCGCGGTGATTAAGATGACTGTACAATCTATTGGAGTGTTGGTGTCATAGCTACAGTATGGAGTGAACTAATACTAGTATATACAGTGGTGGTATAGGGGTCGTAATATTTCTACTCCCCCCTACCCGGTCTAACGCTGGCAACTAGTATACAGGTTAGGGCGCTAGGTAGCTGCCCCTCCCCTGGGTTTGAGTTCACTACCTAAATCTACTCGGATGCCAAGCAAGCGCAGTGCCGGGGCCCACTTTTGGGGTGGCAACGCCTTAGTAAAGATATCGGCGGCCTGACTGTCGGTTTGACAGTATTCGAGTTCGGCTGAGTCTTCGCGGAAGACTTCGGAAAGGCCAGATAAGTTTACTTTATGGGTGCGAGTGATGTGCCTAAGCTTAGGGGAATAACCTTTACGCACTACCAGGATGGTAGCTTGGTTATCTTCTAAAACTTTAAGCGTCACTGTGCGCCCTAGGAGAAGCTCCCAGAGTTGCAGGGCCGGCAGGCCTTCTTGATAAAGGGAATAAGCCAAGGAAACCACCTCTGATTCTGTGGTAGAACGGGATGTGGATGTTTGGCGTTTGCTAACCCACGCAAGAGGGAAGAAGGAGTTAGGCCCATATAGAACTAACTACCCACCGGACGTGGATTTTCCACTCAGACGATCACCGGCGAAATCGGCGTCTACGTATAAAAGTAACTCAAGATCTTCGGGATTATCCTTGATGGTTCCTACGAGCCGGTATTGGGGTGTAGAGTCTATGTATTGGATGAGTCTTAACAACCTTTTATCGTCCCCCCTGGACCAAGACTGCACTTTAGTGGCTAAATCATTAATGGGTTTGATTATGTCAGGTCTGGACAGCCGACCAAGCCACAATGCCTTCATAAGAATGCGGCATGCATTGGGTGCCAGTTCACCTTTAGCCTCTTCATCTTCAACAGAGACAGAACCATCAGGTACAAAAGGAGTGGCAGCATGCTTCAAACTTTTGGTGCTGGTGATGGACTTGTAAAGATCAACTGTTTGGTATGCGTAATCTAGCATGTCAAAGACTAAGGCTTCTTGTGCGCGAAACGCAGCACATTCCTCGGAACCCTCGGTTTTGGACAATGGCATTACTAGATGATTGCGACCTAGAATTCGGTATATTGGTTCAGGTGGCTCTATATCCACAACGGATGTCAGCTTTGCCCAGAAGGCATCATGTTGGTCTGAGGGACCAGCAAGTGTGAGATCATCTACATAGGTGGAAAGTAACAACTTAGTATCAGGGAAAAAGAAGTTACCAGGGTATTCAGGTACCTCTTGGCCACCTAGGTTGCGGATAATTTTCTTAAGGTGCTGCTCCCAAAGGCCACCGGCATCAGGATGACCGTATAAGGCTTTAACTAGGAGGACTACGGGTTTAACAAACTTATCTCGCCAATGTTTTGGTCTTAGCTCAGGCGGGAGTTCTATCCAGGTCTTATATTTTGAAGACAGGAGTGCTTGAACGTAAGCCTTAACAGCATCAGCTGCAGATGAGCTATTACCTGGCAGGGAACCGTATGCTAAACAGGCATTTAAACCTTGGACCGAAGTTGGGTTCGCTCCTAGCTCCTGATACACAGCAGCGGCACCGTGTTCATCCTTCGCACAATCTCCACGGTAGACTATTCTACCTTTCATCTTCTGAAGATGTTGTGCGAGTTCATAGAACTTAATGGATGCTATGGTCATTAGCTGTCCAAAGTGAACAGAGACTCCGGTGCGCTTAGCTTCTGCACGGACGTCTTCTTTCTCCCTTACCGAGTCAAGCGACCACGTCCCAGCTTTGATGAGTCCGTCGGCTTCAGCCTTAACTGCATCAAGTGCTTGTGGATTTGACAACATCTCCGCTTGGAGAGCAACTTAGTTACCATGGCTTGAACCTCTTTGGAGGGTTCATTGTTATCCTCATGCCCGAAGGCTTGTGACAACAAACGCTCATGGTCAAGAAGCTCCGACACTAAGCAGTTTACTGTTGGATCTGTCTCAATGGCAACTGCAAGATCCTCAAAACCAGCTAGTGGGGAAACGTGCTTAAGATGTTGTTCAACTTCGCGGTGCTCTTGGGGTTCGGTTGAAAGTGGAGTGCATGGCATTGCGGGAGCATGTTGTTGAGAACACTTAGCAGGGTACAGCGCTTGGGTAATCAAAAATGCCATCTCTGGGGGATACATAGCTGATCGCGCTGTTTCCGAACCTTCACACTTTTCATGTGGCTGTTCACAACTGCACTTTTTATCCTTAAAAACATCTACTACTCTTTGGGAAGTGGTTCGGACTCTCCAAGGCTTTTTGATGGGAACACCCTTCTTGGATCTAAGACCTACTGCACAACCATCGAAATCAACTTCCATAAACTCAGGGTGAGAATTAAAGAACGCTACGACATCTGGTCTCTTCCAGCCAGTTGAGGGACGTGGCCATTCAAAAGAAACAGTGCCTCCTAGTTTCAAAACTAATTCTGCCCTTTTGGAAAAGCTTTTGAAAAGTCGTTTCGATTCTCGGAGTTGGAGCGCTAATCTTTTCATGTAAGCAGCTCCTCCCCTCCGTCTATTGATATACTGCCAAGGTGAACCAGACGTGCATGGTATGGACGACCAAAGGTTAGGTGGTGCAACTTTTGCGGCTTCACCTATTTGATAATCAAGTTGGGAACATTGATTCTCATCACTTAAGTCTATCCTTTCCTTGCATAACCCAATGTGATTTATATTGCATTGATCACTTGTCAACCCCAGCTGTGAGTTGAGGGAACATGCGAACTCAAACAGTGTTGATTTCTTACTGGGCCTCTGGCTTTTCTTCAAGGCACGTCGTTTGCGACGGTTGTTGTTATTCTTAGGAGGCTGATTAATGGCGGGGCATGCAGGCACGGGCTGTGCACCGAACACTGGCAAGGAATCCCTACATAACTCAGCGCAGCTGGGAGCAGTCTGGGGCAAAGTGGCAGCACCAGAGACACTATAAGGAACAGCAATTGTGATTTCACCTTCATCACCAAATATACTGTCCTCCAGTGGTGGTTCCACGGGGGCATCCTCAAGCGCACTAGGAACTTCGCTGGGAGGTTCAACAACTACCGACTCTGATATGGGCTTTGACTTGGCTTCCAGCTCCTTTTCTTCATCAACTAGTTTCTGGAACCGTTTGCGGCACTCTGCATTATGGTACCGAGTCTTATTTTTACACCCTGTACAACCGGGAGTTTCCTTAAACTTTATGATGCGGTCTAAGGTGATATAAACCGATCTAGGTTTGGGACCGGGTGTAGATGGGGAAGCTAAACCGCCGTCTGGTGGAAACGGAACATTTTGCAGGGCTATTTCAGGGAGTTTAACATCATCGGGATCATCCCCCCTGATCAAGGCCTGATGCTTCGAAAAACCAACGGGAAAATAGGCATCACCATCTGGAAGGTATAGTTCAGGCTCGGGTACATCGGAAACACATGAAGCACCTCTAGTTCGAAACTCTTGGTAATCTAATATCCGAACAACATATCTGTAACGAAAACCAGAATCGATTCGCCAACCAAGAAACAAACCAGGAGCCATATTGGGTTCTAAGGTCCTTTTCGTTGGATGCTTCTTGCGATAATACACAAGTTGACCAAAACACAAACGCTTACCATCAAACTTTTCACGTGTAAGAGCTTCCCATTGGGTCCTTTCAGGGTCCACAATAGAAGGTCTATCAAAAGTCATGGAAAGACATGCGTATGGGTAACTATAAGTGTGGTACTCATAAGGCAAACCAGATTGTAAATGAACAACCCTACAGCACTCTTTCTCTTCCCGGATGTCGCGCTCTAACAGAGCATTGTGCGGCCAACGGTTAGGAAGGGACGTCTCAGGAACGAAGCCGACCTGATGGGCAGCCTGCTCCAATTCCTGTGCTTCGTCCATTTTGATAAGTGTGTGGGTGGCAAGTTCATTGGCTTTCAATCCCACGAAATGTCGAAAATTTTTGGCATGTGATTCAACATCTCTCTTTGAAAGGGGATATGCTATTCGTGCACCAGAGTAAAGGTCCCTTACCACATGGTGTGTTTTAACCCCACCTATCCCCGTTCCAAAATGCTCAGACCCTTTTGCAAGGATAACATCATCGGTGGCCAACTGCTCAAAAGGCTGCTTTGGTGGGTCAATCTTATCATCGGACTTACCATCCTTAACATGAGAGACTCGCATTGCAGTATCCTTAGCAATATGGCATAATGGACAATATGGATTTTTGGGGTAGTGAGTCAAAAGATGCTCTAAGCTAGTGGCTTCCTTTTTCAAGACTTCATCTTTGATAGGGATACCATCACCTAACTCAACAAGCAACTTATCATCTAAAGGGTGCGGTGGCGCGCCAGGAGCAGCACCTTCCGGTACACTTGCATGTGGGCTGCTGGATGCAGCTGCATCTTTTGGATCATCGGCCTCAGCAACTTCGTCAAGTCGTGCGACATCTTGGCCTGCAAAACTAGGTGAATATCCAGAATCCTCATCCGGCAAAGGATCAGCTGGGAGAGCTGTGGAAACTGGGGTTAACC